ATGATGATTTTTCAGAATGATTTCTGAAGGATCATGTGACTTTCAGCTTTCCCATCACAGGAATAAATTACATTTTAAAATATATATAAAACATTGAAATATTTCACAATATTATGGTTTTACTGTATTTTTGATCAAATGCAGCCTCAGTGAACATGAGCAACATCTTTCAACAACACTAATGTTTTTTTGTTTTTTTTACCTCATCTCACCCAAACTGTTTAATGGTAGTGTATGTACTTAGATAAAACCTACCCCAAAAGAAACATACATATGTGCAGAACATCTTCGTGGTTAAACTCCTGATAAAATATGGCCCCTGTTATAAAAGAAACAGAATGAGAATGAGACCACTGATACAAAATTAAGACAACCCTGTCGTCTTAATTGAGACAGAGATAGAGAAAGACATTTCTGAGTCCTACCTGCCACAATTGCAAATGTTGTGCAGAAAACGTAATTCACACAGGTGATGAGAGAGGAATCATACAGGTGAGACGCCTGTGCTAAAAATCTAATAAAGAAAGTCAGGTCAGATAAAAACATACAGCATTCCATTCCAAGCTCACTGTCCTACAACAGAACATTAACACAACAAACACCAGAACTTACGATGCTTGAAAGACGATTGTTGCCACCATGCAGACGAACATGACATAGAAAATGGGATAGGACAGCTGTAGAGGACCCAAGATGCTGAGCACAATCATTCCTGAAACCGCCTTCACCGTGATTACAGTCACTGAACCTAAAAGGGCAAAGGTCAAGGGAAAGGTCAACTCCATTATTTTGGTCTCTGGTACATTTATGAGGGCAAAATAGACAATGATTTGTTGATCTGTGCATTCCTTCCTTGTCAAGAGAGCCACTTTGCTAAACAAGTACTTTGAGTAATGTTGCATGCACACAATGGGCTCTACAAACAACAAATGCTGTGTTATTGCCCTACCAAGTAGTGCCACCAGCAGCAGAATCAGGATGAGGTAGTTAGCATTCTGCTGTTTATAGAAATACAGCACCAGACAGAAAGTAATGATCCCCAGAAGCTGGAAAAAAAAAAAA